ACGATTTTTTCGCAAACCTCCTGGCGAAGGCGTGGGTGTCGGCTGAAACGGCTGCTTCGGAGGTGGGGACCTGGAGGGAAACGAAGCCGGGATACCCCCCCACCCCCCCCCGCGTTTTGGGGCTGTGGGAGAAAGGAAGCCAACACGCCCCCCGTTTAGGGTGAGGGATGCTGCTTCTGGAGGCAAGATGTTCAATTGCCCCGCGGGCTCCATTCTCAAAGCAAACTTCCTGAATGGACCTGGTCAGTCTTCGGAGTCTCAGCTGCATGTGATAGCAGCTTGATATTGTTAAATTTCGCTGTCTGTGTGAAGAATTTACTTGCGGCACATTAGCAGCTCTGCACGTCCTGCAGCATGACGATCGCAAGTCGCAACGTCGGGTGATTGTGAATGCCAGATGCTGCTGAAGGTGGTGGGCAGCAAATAAGCGCATGAAGCATTTCGCAGCGTGGTCTCCGAGTGCAATGAATGCGGAAGCCGAGGCCACTTGCTGCGAGCCGGTGGTGACAGGCACGCTGTCGTGCGTAGTGAAGGGGAGAACACTCAGAAACCCAAACGGGGCTCACAAAGCGTCATGCCTCAACATCAAGCTCTTGCGCGGAGCGTTGTCATATCCTTTGCTAACATCGAGCACTTCCTCGGGATGTCCCTGGTAGTTTCGTCCCAAATGGGGTTGTCGTGTGGAGCGTCGTCTCAGCAGTGCAGCGTTGTGACGCTCTGGCTTGAAATCGAGCTTTTAAAGGGAGCATCCGGGAATTGAATGAAGAAGGAAGGAAGGAAGGAAAGGAGGAAACAACAGAAAGAGGGAAGGAAGTACGCCAGGAAGGCAGAAACAAGGATCAGGTGCAAATGAGTAAGCAGCGACCGAGTGAATAGATCTTGATTTGGTTCTCATCTGCTTTGCTGCGCAATGACTCTTACTAGCATGGCTTGCTGCGGTGCCAAACGTAAAGACAAGCACCTGGCAGGACGCACTATGAGGTAGAATTTCTGTAGAATACCTTTTCTTATGCTCTAACGGCAACCGTTTGGGGGAACATTGAAAAGCAGAAGCAAATCAATTCCCTATGAGATTTCACGCGTACAGTATCAAATGACCGTTCGCCGGACATTACCGTAACGGCAATTCTAGGTTCTGCATGAATGTGAGAACTTGTCGATTAAATGGATCCTTGGGGGAATCTTCTGTAGAATCCTGATTATTGTAGAGCGCTGGTGTCTCAGTCTATTTCTAGTAACTATAGTAGCTAGTATATTCAGGTCACAAGCACATGTAGCAACGTTGAACCTTCAATCTGGAATCCTAAATCTTCTGATGCGAAACTCATGAATCCAGATGACCTGTCAGAACGTACATTACCTCATGCTCGCCCAGACTTACAGTGTCTTGCACATGGTTCGGCTACGTACCCCCAACCCCTCTCCTCCGGCCAGTCTTTCACAGCAAGCACAAGAACAGGAAATCCGATCAAGACTTCGCAAGAACCGACGTGTTCTCATCTTTGAATGTCCTGTAAATTCGCTCAAGTCTTCACAAGAAAACACGTGCCCTAATCTTCGTCCGTGTTTTCCACATGAGCGTGAATTCATCGCCCAACCCCCACTGGTTTATGTTTTACAGCAAGCAAAATGCCTGGCAAATCCATTCAAGACTTGGAAAAACCTGTGCATTCTTATCCCCGCCCAAGTTTTGTAAGCGCAAGGTTTGTTTTTTGCACGAGGCTCAGCAAGAGCATTCATGCATGTTCTTACCTTTGCTCTTTTTTTGCACAAGGGGGGGAAACTCCATTTGGGCTGAAAATACGAGGACACTCAACGCGAGACGTGACTAGCCAAAAAATGAAGCTCTAGCCAGAGCTAGATGTGCTAGATGTTGAGGGACTTGGACTCTTGCTGAGTCTCATTTGATTTAGCTTCTTAGCGAGTCACAGGCGCATTTTCTCAACTCTTTGGGATCTGAGCTTTGTTTTTTCAAGACCTATTTGCTTCTTAGGGGCTCCACGGCTTTTGGAATCCTTGTTGCCCGTCACAGTAGATGTGAGCAAGCCTCAGCAGCTGTAGCTGGAAAATCAAAACGCAGACACCGGTCTGGGCTGGCACTCTTAGGCAAGGGAGCAATTGTCGTGCGCAGCTCTGGCTTTTCGGATGGCAACTGGGCAGAGTTCTGGCTGACCCTTGGCCAAGCTCAACTTACGTCATGCTCCGTTTCCAAGGAAGTTTCCACTGGCTAAGATATGCAGGATATTCATGTCAACCCTGACCAGATTGTTGGAGCCAAAGCCGTGCAGCCCACGCTAGGGTTTGGCATGAGGAATGGACAGTTGCTGTATGGCACTGGCACTCGCGGCCTGACGATTGTGGAAGTTGAGCCTAGCACCGCTGAGCCTTTGATGCACAGGGTGTTGGGGATTATTTGAAGCGCAAAGCAAGTGTCATTCTACGTGCGTGAGCAGCTTGCCATTGTCCGTCACTTCTGCAACTCCCATCAAGGGGGCTAGAATCTAGCGAGCATGGCGGGCTGGACTGTCAATTGAACTGCCCAGCAAGGTGAAGAGCGTCAACACTTTTGACACTTATGTGGTGGCTTGGCTTGAGCTCAACGAGCAGAAGCCCACTGTAGGTGCGTAGCATACTGGTGGGTAGTCTCGCACGCGCCGTCTATACCGATCCTGGAAAGCACCGCGCCAGGCCTTAGTGGGTAGGAGCACGATGGAGACCATGCACCTGACAACTAATTACCCACTTCTAGTCTCCAGATGGATTCAAACAGCATCCTCCAGAGACATGTGGAAGGGTACTTTGATAGAGACGACAATCGAGACGAGACTCATGGGGTTTGTCGTGGCAACACAGGCAAACTTACTTCTGCTAGCCTACCGCCACATTGTGCAAGCCAGACACGCCAGACACTTCACATCTTCATGTGGTTGCTTCAACCTTTCGGACAGTGGCCACTCACACCTGTGCAAGTTGCATTAAACTGCTTTAAGTGTGAAACTGGCTGCGCAGGTGTTCGCCGATTTGAATTATTCAGCATGTAAAGATGTGGTGGTGCCTAGGTAAGTCGCTTCTCCTGGAGGTAAAGGCTAGAATAAGATGCAACCCTGCTGATGTATTGTATAATAACCCAGCGCCAGAGCATTATGTCCTGGTGCGCTGCGAAGTGCACAGCGCAGGGGTTCTACTGGTAGTTGGAAACCGATAAGAGGAACAACGAAAAAGATAAGGATAAGGCCCGCAACTTGAAAAAGCGCTGAGGAAAATGACACGATAACAACTTCTCGGGTCAAGCTTAAAAGGCAGGGGGTTTTATACAACCCCGGGTGGGAGCGGGGCTATAGAAGTCTCGTTGTTTAGATTGATGTCAGCAAGCGTGTCACTGAATGAAAGTCACTGAATCGAACCCTAAAGTGCAATCGTGACGGACTCCCGGCAGTATTCCGCACGTACCCCGAATGAAAACTGTTTAACAGGGCCCGGATGCAACATTCAAGACTTCACGGAAACTTTTGTGGCCTCTTGAATCTTGAATCTGCGACACCATTGACGTTTCGTTGGCCATGTTGGCTTGCATCGATGCAACGGACCAAGAATCCAGCCCGGGTGATTTGTTTCTCGTGTGTAACTGAGCTCCTACAGGGAGAGGCAGGGATCCAGGATCTATCGGCTCCGTCCTCTCTTTTTTGGAATTCAGCAAGCTCTTCGAGAAGAAAACCACGAGTCCGTGGTCTGATGCTTTGGTCTCCCCTTTCGAATAATGAGTAATGAATGCTCTCAAGTCATAAGAAAGACAAGCTTGCCTTGACTTCAAGAGCCCCAGAGGCGGAGAAGTCGCGAAGGCAACGACGGTGGCAACGCAAAACCCTAAACCCTATTGCTGATGTTGCTGCTGTGCTAATGGGCCCGGTTGGGGATCTTGTAAGGAGCGAAAGGGGCAACAAAACAATCCCGGATCATGTGGTGTACTGTAGTCCGTGGTCCTTGTGAAAAGCCACGTTGAAAGGGGAACATGAAATGCAAAGATTTGGCGGTTTGTTATTCCTTTCTGATGAATGTATAGGGAGTTGAATGAAGAATGCCAGTACCCTTCTATGGTTTGGTATGCTTTCCAAGAACAAAGCAGGAACCCAGGATCTGGTGGTTTGCTTTTCCTTTTCAATGACATTCGCAAGGATTTTAAAGGTGAAAGCCGTGATTGCAGAATCGTGTGGGTTTCTCGCTTTTGCTACTGACAGATGATAAGGATTTGGGAGAAGAAGCAAGGAATCCAGGTTGTCTTATTTTAGTCCTTCTTACACCAAGCCGCTGTGCACTGAATTCCTAGCGTTCCATCCGTAATTCATTCTCAGATTCATCAGCAAAGAGTGCAAACTACCAGATGCTGGTTGCTGATTCTCATGCTTGATTTCCTGGTTAGGTTCCATGAATGAGAAGGACCCAACAACCCCTCACTCAATTCCTCCTGGTGGTTTATGCTAGCCCTTATATGGTATGAGTTAAGCCAATACATCATGGACTCATGCTTTCTCAGTAAATTTCATCCGCAGGCGTCATGATTCCAAACGAGGGTCAAACCACCAGATCTTGAATTCTGGGTTTGTCTTTGAAAAGACCCGTGCTGGATTCCACTAGAAATCAAGAGTTCTAAAACGTGCAAAGCAATATTTCCACAGAATGATCACAACATATCGCAACAAAGAGCACAGCCAAAAGAAGGAACGCCCTTGTTGAGCAACTGTGATCTGATCGACTTTTTGTCATTTCTTTTGGTGACCTTGCGTTAGATCTGAGTGCTTTGCTTCACTTGATGGAAGCAGAGCAGACCTTTCGTATCCCTCTGTGGAATCAATCAGCCGCAGGCCTCTTGGTATGCCTCTCAGCGGAGATTCGGGTTGTTGCTCTTTACGCGGGGCTGATTGCTTTCAGTTTGAGCTTCGACTTTGCTGGGAGGATAGCAGCGCTGTCTGGCATAACTGACGGCAAGGAGCTGCATTTTTCCTTGCTGTGCTACTCAATAGTTGGCGACAGGCGACATGTTAACGGGACACTAGTTGCGGAAGGTCTGCTGAAGGGCATGGCTGCGCGGAAGGCTCGCGGAAGCCCCTCCTGAGACGGAGTACGGAGTACTAGTGTCTCAGTAAAAGACTGGCCAGGGATCACGTTTCACAGCAGAAACCCTGTTGCTCGAAATGCCACTACACATGGATGGGTTCCACGGTTGAGAGATTGAAAGGCTTGCCGAGGGAAACTTTGCGGAAAGTTCGCGGAAGATCTCCGGAAGGCCAGAAGCCTTTTTCAAGCCCGGTACCCATGTCACCAATGTCTCACGCACAAGCGTGCCAAGAGCAAGCTACTACCATGTAACAAGATCAGTCCACTCAAGTCTCTGTAACCATTGGTGCAAAGGGGCTTATTGGTAGCTTAGTCAGAAACCAGCGTAACGCCACGAGTCCAAGAAGACAATATTGTTTCAGGAAGGTTTGCAAAAGCGAAGATGTGCAAGATATCAGAAATTGGAGGACGCTCATGGACGCTCTAGGGACTTGAGGCTGCGTGAGGTTTTGAATTCTTGAAGCGCCTCGCACAGGCTGGCCCGGTGGCCGTCTCACCTTCTAAAAACCGAAATGTGGATGCTCAAAAACATGGGAAGCCTCTGTACCACAGATGTTCTCGCTACTTTCGATGGTTTCTTACAGTTCTAGGGTCTTCTCTCGGTCTTAATGGAGCCAAAACAGGGTCGCATCGTGCGGATGATGCTTGCATACGAGGCGCGCGTGCACTGTACAGGAGCATCAATCGCAGCACAATTTGAACCCCATTTTGGCTCGTTTTCAGTTAAACTAGCGAGAACAAGACCCTCCAACCTTAAAAAACAGGTAGCAAGAACATCACTCTTTTCGTGCACTTCTCCTGATCACGGCCATCAGCAGGGCTGGGGTGGGCTTCATTTTCATATGATGGCTGGGTTTTGGAAGGGGGCTCGACCAGGCCGGCCTGTGCTGCCAGACCCGAAAAAAAAATGAGGCATGCCTTTAACTGGGCGTGCATCCGCACTGTACCATGACGGCCAGGCCGGACTTTCAGAGTCTCCGGCTCAAGCCGCCAACCGCAAAGGCAGTCAGGCTCTCGCCAGTAATGCAAGACGACAGAAAATCGGCGCAGAAGTCATATGGGGGTTGTCCGAAAACCCTTGTCTACAATTTAGATCAACGAAAACCAAGTGTGACATAATTTGTCAAAAGCCCTGCGCGCGCAAAGCTCCGCGCAAGCACGGCGCAAGGTTGGCGCAAGGGTTGGAAAACGCTCATGGTTTATAGTTGTTGTGTGATGAGCCTGCGCGAAAACCATTGTAAGCCAAACTGTGCGCGCGCAAGCTCCGCGCAAGCACGGCGCAAGCCCCCAATTCGAGATGAAAGAATATTGGACAACCCCCATATAAGGCAGACGGGAATAAGCCGAATAAGCAGTTTTATGCCCGCTGCGGGCCTTGCCGATGGCATGGCATCTCTCATGTAACCTCCATACAACGCAGCCGGGATACCCTCCCTACCTCCCCCAACCCGCCCAACCGGCGCTGCGTTTTAGAGCTGGAAAAGGAGGACAGAAGCATCTCCTGAGACCACTCAACCCCCCCAAAGGTCCGCGGACATGCAGACATGTCATCGGAAGCAACCATGTTTGATTTTGATTGGTTCAGCTGCTATCCTCTTAGGATTCCACCCAGCTGGAGACATTTTTATCATCGGTGGTGGCCGGCAACTTGAGCCCTGGCAATGCAATCGGCCACCCACCTAGCTGACCTAGCTCGTTCAGAGTTAACTGCGAAAGTGGATGTCTCGTGGTTCAAGATTTCTGTGGGGGCCACCTAGTCTTATTCTGTCTCTATCGCATAAGAGCATCCGCCCCGTACATGCACTGCAGCGTCGTGTCCCTTGCTTAAGGATCCTGGCCGCAGCTGTGGATGAAGCATCTGCAAACTTGAGCCCGCAGGCGCGGCCCAAGTAGAAGTAGGCTGGACGTCAGCTGTGTCATGCTGTGCCCATCATAGTAAAACGTAGACTAGCCTAGCATGCACAGCAGGTGGCAGATCTGCCCCAAACTCGACAGTACCTGCACCTGAGGCCAAAGAGTTGATAGCGAGCTGCGGCGCGTTGAAGATCAACCAGCTTGCTTTCAGGTGCCAGATCTGTGAAGATTGTGCCAGGGGTAGGTGATGGGTGCCAGTTTGTCTTCAGAGTCTTGTTCTGCGGTCCCACATTTCTTCACGAACTTGGTTCCCAAGATCACTGCACCTCCTTACGAACCAGGAAACATGATTGGATTCACAAGTGTGCCCAGCCCGCAGATCTTGATTTTTGGCAATATCTTCTTATGTCGTGTTAACCATACTAGATACAGGGCCGGCTTAAACAAGGCATCCCGCAATAGAGGACCATGGGATCATGCGACTTGTGGTCAGGACAGCTGACCTGGGTTGTCCATGAGGGCCACCCTTGCACACGCGACTGTGATTAAGATTTGTGCGCTAGCCGCTGGGCACTTGCACTTGGAGCGCCTTGCACATGCAACCGTGCAGCGGTGCAGGAGCTCATATGCCCTCATTGGCACCAAAGATGGGTCGGCCATGTCGGAGGCGGCTCGCAGAATTCCGGTCCAGGAAGGCACATGTAGCTGGAAGAAGGAAATTGACGTGCCGCCAGTGACAGCGTGGGCAAGGGCCTGGGCAGGTACGTAGTGTTTCTAAGAGTGGCCATGTACAGCACTGGCACAACACAGTAGTCCAAGCCAACGTCATGTTCAGAGCATCTTAAAGCCCAATTGAATCAGGTGGTGTTGCAAGAAGGTGGTGGAACTGCAGTTGCGATTGCGCAGATGACGCTACCAGAATCTTGTCAAGAAAACGGCTTTCGTGCTGAGAATGCTGCGTGCCATCATGTGGGACTTCATGTTGCACTAGAACGAGCGATGCAATCTGTGCCGCTTGTTCACCTGCCTCACAATGCCGGTTGTAAACTGGTAATTAAGGAGCCAGTTCTACCTTTGTGCCCCGCGGCTGCAGAGATAGCAATGAAAGCAGCTCCACATGCCAACAGGCTTGGCTTGCCTGGGTAAGTGGTCGAAGCAGACTGCACCAAGGCAAGATGTACAACTGTCCGTCTGGCTACATTCTGATGGCAAGTTCCATGGAGACTCCTGGATGCTCTCTGGAGCCTTGTCTTGCAGTCTCTGTAACTAACAGCGGTCAGTCTAGGTTCCGCACATGTTTTCAATTTCTTGAAGGATGCCTGCTGTCAAGAAGCAACTGCGAGAACCTGGACGCAAGATGCAGATTCCTTTCGAGTGAGTGGCTAGTTATGCCCAGGCTTAGGCCGTATACGATGCAGACTTTTGTGGCAGAACGAGGCAAAGGCGCTGTGGTCGTTCGCAGTGCTGGCTTTTCAGATGGGAATTGGGCCGAGTTCTGGCTGAGCCGCGGCAGCAAACGTAACAGTTTGGCACGAGCTGGTTCACTTGTCACCATTCAGCCAAGTGCCCCGAATCGCATAGCTGCTAGCTCACGCTAGACTCCCTAGCTTTGAACACTGAGATTGCAACTTCCAACACACGGGTCTTGCTGCCTGATGTTGGACTGCCTGCAAGATCCTGCAAGTTTTCGGCTTACGGCTTACGACTTTTCTTACAATGGTCGCTGCGATAAGGAATGGTGACCTTCTGTATGCCACTGGGACACGAGGGCTTACCATCCTGGATATGTGGCCCAACACGACAGACCCTTGGACGTGGAAAATCGGGGTAGGTAGGAAGTCCAATTCCATTCGAGTTGCTTTCTCTTAAGTGTGACAGGTCAAACACGTGCAGACGTTTGACACCTACAGCGCAACTTAGCTATGATTAGCTGGCATGTCGCCTGCAAGCCCAGAGAGGTCACATGCAATAGCGGCAATAGCGTGCATTCATCAGCGCCAAATGTTGGTCAGCATCGCAGGTGCGCATGATTGCAACTCCAGGGTTCAAATTCAGCACCGCTCGATTTATGCTCGCTGAGGTTGAGATTGTTCTGCTAACAGATGCGTGCCAGTGTGATCATGCTTTTCGAGCCTTCCTTCTGGCTGCCGCCTTTCTTTGGAAGTCTTAATGCAGGTGCCTCCTAGGTCAGCAGCGCCTGCTGATCCACTGGTCCTCCTGCCATACATAAAAAACAACAACAACAACATGCTCACAGAAATCCTGGAGCATACCCCAGAGCCCAGAGATAATATGCAGAAATCATGAAATCTACTACATGTCTTCGACTTTCAGGCAAAAAGTTATGTTCTTCATGCACATGTGGCAAGATATAGACGGTTTTTTGCATATGTGGCAAGATACAGACTCTTTTTTTTTGGCTGGGGTTGGGGTCACTATTGATGATCATGTAGGAAACTTTATTATTGGCTGCTGCAACAAGGTAGCAACTAGAGTCAACATCATAGGTTTCATCATTGTAGATGATAGGAAGAGGGTGCAGGGATATCAGGGATATTGAGAGTGATCACAACAAATATCGTGGTGGCAAGGTGCGGAGGGATGAAAACGGTTGGCCAGAGGTGGAAGCTGCGCTTGATGTAGCAGCATTGGCGATCAAGTTGCACGACCAGTGTAGATCATCATGATCTCCTGAGCAACATCGGAACAAACATAAGCGAGCAACATGCCAAATCTTTGAAACCGATCGAGTGGCCATCAGCTTTCGGATATTTTGCTTTTCTGTTCCGGTACTGCCAGTGCGCACGCACACCATAGCAGACACCATGCGCCCCGTGTGATTGCCGAGGACTCATCAGGACTTGTGGCCTACCTCAGCACAGCGCTGGCAGGGAATATGCGCCGTAGAAGCAAGAAGAGATTCTGCCGTGCAATGCCTGATCCATAGGCAGAAACCTTCAACCGCTCATGCACATCCAATGGATCAGACATGATCGCGGGTGCAGCGCTGAAAAACATCAATTTTTTGCAGTGTTTCTGACCCAGCTTGTCGAGCCAAAACTGGGCCATTCCAAAATCAGGCCCGGGACGCCCAGAAAGCCCAAGGCAATTTGTTTTGAAGATTTTGATGCAGTGCGGAGCCGCTTGGACTTCCGGAACATGCGAAACTGCTGGAACAGCTTGGCTTGGAAGGTTCTCTGTACCATTAGCTCCTCAAGTCTGGGAAGTTTCGGAGGCCCACAGTCTGAAATCACAGACACTTACTGCGTTACATTGCATCAGGAAATGTCAGGAAACATTACAAATACAACACTTCCTGTCCAGCTTGGGAGGATTAAGCAGGAAGATCATTTTTACTAATTACTTACTTCGAGTTCAAGACAGAGTTCAGATTGTCGATTACTGTTCCAAGTTCTTCTTGAGCCCCATATTCTTGATGATAACAATGCATGCTGCAGTTGGCTACACGGTTTCTCAGGCTTGTTGGCTTGCCGGCCCTTTATTCCCTGTTTATGTGCAAAAGGCCGTGGCTAACACAGAGGAAGGAAAAGATCCATCGTTGAACTTGAGGAATGTTGCGACCTCGCTACAGCGATGGCTTTAGCCTGCAATCAAGTGTCGTGTACAAGTTGTACTCAGTCCACGCTGTATGCCAAAACATGATTCCGCTCATGCGCCGTTCACGAATAGAATGATAATGGTGGTGTGGCGATGTGGAGGAGGACCAGCGGAAGAGTGTCTTGAGACACTCTGGATTGTTTTTGTTGTGCATGCTGCATACATGTTGATGGTCAATAAACGTGCCATTGGCTTTGTGGGATGTGCTTACGGCCAAGAGCCCCCAAACCTTGAACTCAAAAACGCCCGCCACAGACTCACAGACTGACGGGAATTTCGAACGCACCGAGAAGACTCAACTGAACATGATTGAACCACAGTTGACATCTTACAGTTGTGAATCGAAGAGACAAGAGCAAGATGAACTCCTGGCATTTCACAGCCTGGTATTGGATTCTACAGAGGCCTGGATGCAACAAAAAATGAGAGAGCGAGAGAGAGAGAGATCTCGTTAGAGCAATGAGGACCAACAGATCTATTTCAAGAAGCAGCATTCGACGATTTTAGTTCGTAAACATGGCATCAGGAAATGCCAGATTTGCCGAAGAGCTTCAATGCTCGGATATGTCAAAAGAATGTAGCCTTGATGGGCACCACACGTTCGCCTGGCACATACCGCATTATGAACGAAAACCAGCAGCCCAAGAAACAAGCAATCTTTCGAATTATTGTTGTCCATGACAAAGGATCTTGGCTGCTGCCGTGGATGAGGCCTCTGCAAGCTTGAGCCCCGAGGCTGTGAACTGAAAACCGAAATTGGTGTGCAACATGGACCGGGGCTTGCAACATGTGTGCGGTAGCAACGCAAGCCTAAGAGTGTGCAGGCAAGGCAACTGCTCTCCAACTGTGGCGCCACGTTGATTCCACAGCTGATGTTCAGGTCATTTGCCCCTTCTCTCTGCAAATCTGATGCAAGCATCCGACTACATGACTAGCTCTACAGGCATGCAGAGCTCGACATGTTTCGCTGCGGGAGCTCAGCCTCGTTCACTCCGCCAACACTGTGTCACTGCAGGAGCTCCTATGCTCTCATTGGCATCAATGGCGCCAATGCCTTGTCCGAGGCTGCTGCCCATGTTGAACGGCAGTCCACAGGATTTGGCGAGTTCTGTTGGGTCAGATAGCCTTCACTGCTAGCTTCAGCGCCCTGACATGCATCTGGCGTTCACAGAGCTGTAGGATCTCCTGCTTGGGAGAATCTGCTGCTGGACAGGTGGTTCTTCCAGAAGGGGCGGGGCATGCAGTTGCCGTTGCAGAAGTAGATTTGCCAGCTCCTTGACCTTGACTACAGTGCGTCTTGGATTTCGTCTGCCTTTTATTGTGAGCAAGTTGTGAGTGGTTAGTGTTTGGCCTTCACCTCTGCGATTCTACAGGTTGCTATTTGCCAAGTCGGTGTCATTGTCATAGGTATCGTCTCGGTCTTTCATGAGTGCAGCATTGTAATTTAATCGGACTTCTTTTGATCCTCGCCGCATCTGGCCGCTGTCCATTCACAGGGAGGTGGGATGGGTTCAAGTTGACATTGGTAGCGGAGCCTCATGTGGGTGCGACAGCATAAGCACGGGGGACTCGGTGGTTTTAAGATGGAAAGTAAGCTATAATAAACAGTAGGGGGCTCAGTGGTCTTTACCCTCAACCCTAAACCCTAAATAGACTTGAGGAGAACAGAGAAAAAAGCTATGGCAGGCAATGGCAAAGGAAGCAAAACGGAACCCTGAAAGCGCGGGTGGGCTAAATCGCCTACTATGGCAACAGGTGCCACGGCTTGGGCAAGGAACAGCCAATGCGGACACGAAGAGGCTTCAACATATGAGCTGTGGCGCTGTTATGAACATCTGCAACCATTGGGTCCTCGAGCCGTCCTGCACGTAGAGGCCACCGACAGTCTTTGCCGCAAGGTTGGAGTCAAGGTTTTGGTGGACTCTTCGCGAGGTTCACGCGGGTAACTTATATGTTGCTCTGAGCAAGCCATCTTCCAGTTGACACGCAGCAGAAGCCAAACGAGTGAAGCTCCTTCCGTAGCTAAGCACGACATGGTCCTCGAAAGGGTTTTCTTCTGGAATGTCGTCATCGAAGAGATCCAGGCATCTGGTCTGTTGCCCCAGTTTGCACTGGCGGATGAAGACAGCAAGAGGCAACAGGAGTCTGCAAATAGTTTGGAGCCTTAACGGCTCAGGAGCCATTAGGGCGGCTTGCGTCCGCAGGCCAAAACAGTATGATGATAGGGTTCCGAGCAAACACGCATATTTAGTAGGCGATGCCTACCGTGACATATGCCAAGAGCGCCGGAGCATTTATTGCAAATCCTCTGTCAATGTTTGACAGGAAGTTCCGGGTGCAACTTGCTGTCACCAACGAGGTACTGAGGGGCAGGACTTCGGAAGGAGAAAGCCAAGTCCGACCAACAATTTGGACGGTGCAGTCTTGGCAGTGCAGGGGCTGAAGGCCTAATTGCCTTGATGCAGGGCCAGTGCCACGCGCGTGGTCTTGTACGGGGGCTACTTGAAACATGCCGCCGAAAGATCAGGAAGGCAGCCCTCAGGTGTCTAGTCTTCCATTTATTTGTAACCAGATTGCGATGAGAAAGAGGCTTGGATCAGAAACGAAGTGGTGCTTGGAAGCGCGCCCCTGTTGATTTCCAGCACCCTCCTTGATGATCTTGATGCCGCTGTACTTGCTATGTTTCAAAACGCGTGCTAGACTTGAGATCGCGGGGGGCCGAAAGTTTCAACGCTCGAGGGTCGTGCTTCGCTGACGTGGCTGAGTGATAGCGGCTGCCGGTAGAAGCTTGCGAAGCAACATGCCCAGCAGCACCGGCACCGGCAACGTCAGCTGCAGACACCTTTACAAAATGGGGGGACCTGAGCTTACACAATGGTTGGCTTTTTATGGTCATTCCGTATCACATGATGTCATTAGTTCACAACGAAAGCACCACAAAACAGCCTTGTGAAGCCCCCCACCACTTCATAAAGGAGCACCCCATCCATCCCAAGCGAATCCGAAATCGGACGTCGCCAACAACAAGCCCCAAGCTCATAAACTTACCTTGAGTCATCCTGGATCCTAGTTTCCGTAGATACGGTTCCCCTCACGACGTTTCACAACTGTATTCAACCATTCAACAGCGTGCCTCCTGGTGACGGATACTTTGAAGCTGGGCTCGAGGCAAACCATGCTTGCTAGAAACGGGACCCCGCGAGAGGTTAATGCGGCGCCAGGGTACCACGCTTTTTGTTGGCGGATGAAAGCAACTGTGTCTCCACACACCTCCAGGATGCTTCTGATGCTGGTGTGTGAGCATTGTTTCTCTTATGCATGCACATGTGCAGCATGCTCTGCAAGTGACTGCAAGCACGACCCAAAAATGGTTTGTTGGTTTCATCAAGAGTTTTCGTCGTTTTTTATAAGATTGGCATGCTGCGGGCTCTGCAAGAGTTGTTTCTCATCTAGTTCCATGTCAGTTCATACGGTCTCCCCATGAAATGGTGCGGCTAGGGTAGCCTGCCCCGACCACCACATTTCATAGGGATTTCTTTAGTTCTGGGCTGCTGGCTGGGTGCCGCAATCACAATATAAGGTTCTCCCAGCCTTTCTGCTGAGCCTAACTTGCAGGTCCATGAAAAGAATTTTGAGCAGTTCTTATTGGAGGAGATGTTGCAGATTTACGCGTACTTGAAGGCGGATTACCCGAAACCCACGAAGATTTCCAAGCCTTCGCGACCTTGTGGTGTTTTCTCCGGGCACAGGGTCATGCAGCGTGGAAATCAGTGTTAAGTCGATCCTTCGAGGTTACTTTTCTTTATATGCCAGGCTTAATCAAGGCGGATCACCGCAAACGCCGTTTGAGCCGCGAGGTGCCATGGCCATTTTGCGTGCGTAATCAAAAAGACCGTGCAACGGGAATTTTTGGGCAACTACCAAGCCTCGCTCGTGCACAGTGAATATGGTACCACGGTACGTTAACCTGATAGTGTTCATTCCGAATCATTCCCCTCCAAAATTTGTTTTGTGTTTTCGGTCTATGGAGGGGGGTTTGCAATAATGAGCCCGAGGGCGGGGTAAGATTAAGAATACGCAGTACAGGCCTTAGTACTAGTGATACAAGTAGATGGAACTTTTCAAAGCCGGGATAGCGGAATTTATTATTGTTGTCACCCCGTTATTTTTGCGGAAGCATGGAGTGTTTGCAGGTTTCAGATCGGATGTGGATGTGGCTGCTACAGCTTCTCTCGGAGGATTGGAAGGTCGTTGTGCTGCGTGCCAAGATCACCGGAAAAGGGAGCAGCAAGATGAAACTGGATGATGATCACAAGCTGAACCTGACGAACCTAGTTCTTTGCGACTTTACTGCCCGCAGCGCAGCGGAGAACAACCAGTGAGTGACGGCCAAGATGACGGACTGCAGCAAATGTGCCCACAGTGTATAATCCTAACGTAGCGGGGCAGGATGCAATGATCCGTTCTTAACCCGAACAGAAAATACTCTGAATCAAGAAGCGGTCGGCTTTATTCAAGGGCCAAATTCAGCTATCGTTTCCAAATTTCTTGAAGGGGGATGCGTTTGAATGTTCTCAAGGATGGTGACATGCTGAGTGCCTGGTATTGGTATTGGAAGCCAGGACAAGGATAAGAGAGCGATCGTGTGGCCATGGACTTGCGAGAACGTGCCTTTTTCATGTTTGGATAGAGGTGTGGCGTGCATGGCTGGCGTGGACGGGATTACTTCAGCACGAGTCGAGCTGCAAACACAGTTTTGCGTGGACAAAGCACTTGCCACCGTGCATTCGGAGGCGCAACATACGGAATCTCGCTTGTCCATGGTCTGGCGGAATCTACGGCGCCGCCAAAGCTCACAAGTCTTGCGTCGTGCTACAGCTCAGCTGCCTACGTCCTGAATTTTGCAGTTGATTCATGACATGAAGCATGCAGTCCTTTGCTGGGGCACCGCTAGGTTGCACACACTGCGCCACGCATGCTGCTCCCTTTCGACGCACGATTGTGGTTTGTGGATGGGCGTGGAATGTTGTTGTAGAGTTTAATTGTAGGGGTAGTAAAGGAGTGGATCAAGATTTTAATATAGCAAGGCATACCTGAATTTTGTCGCCTTGGGAGTTGCGCGAGAGCCTGCCCAAGCGCCCAGCTTGCAATTTTTTGCAGAAGCCGAGGTGCCTGACATGGCACGGTCTTGTTTTTCCTCTGACGTGTTCCTAGAGGCAATTTTTGTGACGCTCTTGCTAGAGTTCCAAAAGTCGAGAGGGCCTAAACGAAAGCTTCCAAGATTACTTCTGCGGCATTTGCTTGAAGAAAATGTTGGGGCGACCGGCCCCATATCCTGCGGCCATGCCTCCTGCTGACAACGATTTCTGAGCTTATTGGCGGATCAGGGAAGGGATGGCATCTTGAGGTGCATGGTATGTTTTTTTCCTGATAAGCTCACAAGTTTCTAGGCGCCAGCAGTTACATCTCCATATCCTGCTTTTTCAAGTGGCTACCGCTGTCAGAAGATCCCGTGCACGCATGTGTGCGACTAGGGCAATGAACACTTGTGTCACTGTTGCGATGCAGCCGTTTTGTCATTTCCGCGGCTTTGTGAATCCACAGCCTTGTAAACAAATTGAGGAGCATGTGTGTGGTTCAACCAGGCAATTGGCTGTTCAAGACTGTCAAAGAGGATGCGTGCGCTAGGCTGAATTGTTGTAACAGCTCCGCAGTTCCGGCAGATGAGTAGTTTGTCCAGCGGCGCTGTGGACTGAGGCAGTCAGCTCCCAGAAATTCGGTTTTTCTTCAGAGTTCCTTGCATATTGAAACAGCTAGTGCAGCCGCGTAGCAGACAATGTTTTAGTTCGTTGAAACGGGTTTTGCTTGGAAGTTTGCACCCGCTTACCGCGGCTACTGAGGTTGATGGGTGGAGGTCAGGTGATTGTTAGTGAGCCGAAGGTTGTTTGGGCGACATTTTCAATCAGCAATGTACCTTTGGAAGACCATCCATTTGTATCAGGGAGCGCAACACCCTTCAGCTTAGTACAGGGGCGCGTTCGCAGGCACAAACAGAAGCCGCCTTGGGTCTCTTGTGGCTTAAATGCCCCGCGACATGGTGGAGTTAGTGCTGTTCGCTTCGATCCCGTCACATTGACATTGCGTCAACCAGGGCAGGCCGGCAGGCCGTTCTACAACGGCGGGGGAGGTTCATGGTGGCAACGCTCAAAAGAAGAGGTCATTTTGTTGAAAGAGTGGACAGCGTGGAGGCCCTCCACAGCTTCTACTGTTCGAACCATTCAACATGAGTGGTATTCCCATCGAGGTTGTCCAATCCATCCATGTGCCAACTCTCAACATTAATGTTGCCAGCAAAGAAATTTGGCTTGTTCATCAAGTCCATGGTTGCATTTCTTTCAACGTATTAGTAGTAGCTAAATGGAGTGGTAGAGGGCAGTCGGAAAAACGGCCTTGCGGGCTCTCACTCCTGCAGGCCCCGGCAAGTCCTGGCTTGCCCACAGATGCGTGTCGTTGAGCTTCAGGGATGTGCTGCGAATACTGCTGCCGCATGCTGCCGGCATGTCCTCGAATGTCAGACTGCACCACCAACCACATTATTTACCTGATTCTGCGCCCAGAGCTCCCTTCTAGCACGGCCGTCATCCAAGGTGGGGCGATCGGCGTGTCTCCAAGATTTAATTGGCCGCCATGAATTTTGGAAGTTTTTTGGTGGGGGTTGTGATTTGTTGGGAGGGGGACGCTGTGCACACTTTGTTTAATGAACCACGTGTAGCTGACCCCTTGTACACTATACTAAAGTCGACCCCACAAACATCCAATTCCCTCCATCTGCGTGAAAAGCCTTAGTCATGAACTCCAATAAAGGAATGGAATTTACTAAGGGATGCATGTTGGGAGCTCTTGTTGGATCCTTCCTTGCCAGGCCTCCTATATAACGTGTTCTCAGAATGTATGCAGGGTGCCTTAGGAAGATACGCTACAGTAACATACCTATTGGGTGTCCAACTGACCATAATTGGAAACCGTGCGTCACGTGAGTTACTTTTGCAAATCATAGCTTCTTAGTGCAGATACTGCTCAGCCATCCATCCTGTACAACAAATCTAGGCACCATCCGGGAAGTTCAACTTTGCCGCTATACACCGGGCCTTTTAGGCTTGACCCGAACAGGAGCCGAGAAATGCATCTGCATAGGCTCGAACCAGAAAAACAAGCATGAGAAGGTGGAGTAGAGCAGGCACGCCTCATATAAATGCATACTTTGATACATGAAGTAAGAGGTGAATGAATGAATGCATGACTGAATGAAACGAATGAAATGTAACGAAATGAAATCAATGAACACATAACTGACTACATGTGTACAATGACCTGCCGCTGGATGATGTGCTGGAGTATTGTAACAGTTATGCCCTACTCTTTCTTCTCCGGAATTGGAGCTTCTTTGTTTGCAATTGGAAAACAATGGCCATCGAATTTCTCAGTTAGCCCTGGAGGTTTCTTCATCGGACTTAAGGAGTTCCTTGATTGAAGGATTTCCTATACTTTACAAATGTTGTTGTTTCCTAAAGTTTTTCAAGCAAGAGTTTGTGCAAAGGAGCTTACAGGAAATCCAATTAGAACTAAGATTTTTCTTTTAACTTCATCATACAGGGCTAGATATAAAAAGCTACATAGAAAAAATGAACATATGTAGCTTCACGTCGGTGGGGCCCTTTATTTCTTGGATTTTTATTGTTTGTGCTGCAGCTTTCGTTTTCATAGGGAGATGGTGAAGGAAATTACATAAGCGGGTCAAGCAACCCTACTCGTAGCCTTAATTTCGCATATGTTCCTTTTTGTTTACAGGACTATTACAGAGGAGCTTATACACAAAAATGCAAGAGTATGTTGAAAGGTGCATTCAGCTACTTTATTCATGAAGGACCTCGTCCTTCTCTACTAAAACAACTATTGCAGGAAGGTTGTTTTTGTGAAAGACTCCAGGAGTCCAAATCTTTCAATACATGTGCCGTGTTAAAAAATCGCTTTTTGGATTCAAGCCCCTGTTTGTGATTACTCAAAGCAGCTTGGTACTCCCTTGAGTGGGGACCCCTTCCGCAAAAAGACATTTTGGGCCATTTCTGATCCGTCTGATCTTTGGGGAGAGCTTATCACTGAAATGATTGAGACCATTTCAGCAATGGATCAAAGATCAGGAATTAGTCCAGACATTTTGACAAGGATCCAATTACTGAGGTTATTGAAAACCTGCAATAATTTCATTCAAAAGGGGGGTTGGCTCGAACAAATCCTCGGCCAACCTTTGGATCGTGAGCTGCGGCCAAAGATAGTTCCAAGATGTTTCATTGATCGGGCCTCCCCAGTATTGAGATTATTGAGAAAATTTGCAGTACAATCAAGTCCTCCTGGACGTTTCTCTGACCCTCAAGTTTCATTGCTGCGATTACTGCAGAATTTAATAATGTCAATAGCCCTTTTCATCATTTTTCCTGATGCGAATAACACACCAGCAAACGGAAATGGATGTGGTTAGACAGATAATATATATAATTCCTACAATACATAGAATTGACCCCAAAGCACAAAACAGAAAGGCACCCACAGCCTCCGTTTGTCAATGAATACGCCCAGAAGTTTATCAATTTCGGGTTGGGTCGTTACACGTTGCCTCGATTTCGCCATGATTTAGATTTGCATGCGCATGGGGGCGCGAAGCTTGTTTCTTCTCCAGTTCAGGCATGTGATGAGAATGGTAGAAATGCATTGTGTGAGTAATTAATTATAGAGTGGAAACAATTCTGAAATAATCCTGAGCTTGCCGAGCCCATGGCGTGCCACCGGCACAGACACGAGCAACAGCAAGATGTCTTCGAGGAGTCAATTGTAATCCAATCGGCAACAATTTTTGTCCGGGTACCGCTTTCGATTAGTAACCTGATTTGTGAAAGGGGTTAAGCCCACTGACTGAAAGACAGGCGTGTGATTCAGGGCGCGACTTTGGTTTGGAGCCGCTTGTTTTTGGCCACAGGTCCGGCTTGGCATCCATGAATCAGCTCTATTATTGGTTATTGGCTGGTGTTGATTGAAGTTTCTGAGTGAGCAAATTAAAATCTGATTGTCGTTGTACTGCTTGCGTGGTCCACGTCCCCTGGGGTGTGAGTACCTACCAAGGGAAACTAACAGCCAGCGAACAGCTTATGCCATGTTAGAGGGCCAGTTGATGTCAAGCCCTTGATGTTGATGCTGCTGTTGCTGCTGTTGGTCTGTTGTCGCTTTTGGTTTTGCCATGAGTGTGATGGTGTTGGCGATGGTGGTCATGCGTGGTATTGCGTGGTCGTCATCGTGCTCGCGCCAAATTTGTCGTTCTGATGGCATGATATGGCAAAGGCTTAGCCCTACCATCTGCAGCCACAAACAGCCGTAGTGGTGAGGCCTATGTTTTGTACACGCAGCTGTTGCCATTGTGCGCATTGTGAGCATCAACCAGCCCCATTGGCACAGACTTACGATCCCATGCCACAGCAAGGAGCAGGGGACAACAACGCCAATGCCGCCAACTTCGTTTTGTGCGCCCAGTCTGGCTTCATGGTATGCTGCCACGCCATTCCAAGATTGATGGAGCGTTTCCAACAGAAACCGTGCTACACGTGGCATACCCCTTCGAGGAAATGCGAACCCCGCAGCCGCCGATGTCGGGCACCCTGGCTCCCGACGGCAACTTGGAGCTTGACGCAGGCTGCCATTTTCGAGTGTGGCTTGGTGCCAATTGTTTGATCTGGGTCTGTAGAACTGTGGGATACAGTGAGGCACGCCGCAAAGTTTATGAGAGCATCACTGGGATGATTGATTTCTGCTAGCACGGAGCCTGTTGCCGTGTCAAGTTCCAGGTGGGAAAGTCCTGACATCGCAAAGTGTTTGGCTGGACTGCTCTGACAGAAGGGATGACATGAAAGGGTGCAGTTTGAACTCGGCTGATCCTTTGGTGCGGCCACTGTGCCATTCTTGAAAGGAGCTTGGGTGGTCGTGACGGGGTCCTCCAATGCTCTGCTCATTTTCAACACATTGCTCATGCTCCTTGCTCCGGCAGAGGCACGTCCTTGTGACATCTTGTGATTCCATTTTGGATGAACCGGCTGATTAGCAGTTGCTGAGGAAGACTCTATTGCACCTGTCCAAGATGGGAATTTCAACACGAGCAAGCGTACTGGCAATTCACGCATGAGGTAGCCATACATCAATCACTTCAGCAATGACCCAGCGCATTGCGATCGGAGCTGTGACAGTTCGATCTCCCGGCTTAGGCCTCAAGGTTTGCCGTCCAGAAGTTCCCGAAGGGATTTTGCTTTGCCCTGACTCCGGATCTTCACACCAGATTCACTTGACGGATGATGTCCTGATGTCTTGAACTTGCGGCCCTAACTCCCCATCCTGTTGTTAGCTTTCCTGAAGCCACCAACGCGTTCGTTCATGGGATGTGTAGCTTCCGCGTTGGGCCGAAGCCATCTTGTACTGACTTGGCGCCCGGACACGGAGTGAGTTTCAGCTGAAGTGACTCAATAAAGCGGCCCGATAATATCAGGCCTTGACGATATATTCCCAATTCGCCGGGTACACATGAAGCTTTTCATGTGTTCAGTCATGTCCCCCATGAATTTTACCCTACAGAAGAGCCTCACAGTGCTAATTACTCAACGACAGCTACGGTAACGGAGATTCTTTGATGGTGAAGCTTGAGATTTCAATTTATGGAGGCGGACGTGCAGCGAAGCGGTCGTTTTGGTGGCGCACACCTCATCGATGCAGTGGTAGAAGATGGCCGTATCATCCATTATCAGACTGCGTGGCACCAAGATCAAGGGCCAGTTGTCCTTTGTATGTGGCTGTGCCCATGATCCGAAGCAATTACGTCGGCTTCAACTTGACTCCTGCTGAAAGGGTGCATTCTACCTCCTGCCCTAGCACAGTAGCAGACACGCCTACTGAACACAGAAAAGGCAATTCTCCATGATCAGGACGCGACCAAAACACTCCGAGGCCGTGAGCACTTTGTCAAAAAAGGTTGAGGACACTAAAAGAGCACACACACAGTCCTCATATTCATGCAGGGAGAGGCCCCCCAAACACCAGTGGTTGTAGGTTTCAGCTTAAAATAAATCACTTGGACCAGGTTTGCAAAGCTCCGTGCGAAGAGGGATGCAAGTTCACCCTGCAAAAGCAGATTAATGAGTTCTTGATCGTGTTAGACCAGGTGTGCAAAGTTGAGCTCCTGAAGCTTGAGATGATTTGTGGCAATGGCTTTTACAACCTAGAGACTTCAACCCACCTTGTTGAAATGATTGCTTGGCCGTCTCGAATATTTGGTCTAAAAAGGCCTGGCCTGACTTGAGATTTTAAAGCGCGATGCTCTTGAGGCAAACAGTGCAGGCCAAACCTACCCATCACTGCAAGGTACCAATCAGTTTTAGCCTACCTGCATATCCCGAACAAATCTGGATGACGTGACTTCGCGTTAATCAGCACCCCCTGACGAGCTGAGGAGGTGCCCAGCGATCTCTCAAAATTTGCACTCGCCCCTCCCTCTCTCTCTCTCTCATCTCTCCTCCACTCCTTCCTCTCTTTTGCTCGTGCTCGCGCTCGAAATTTCATCAAATTGAAGGACCCTTCCCGTGGCAATTTTTCAGGACTAGCTTGTCTCACTCACCGCATGCGGATTGCGATTTCAGTCTTGATTGTCTCAGGTGCGATCCTCAGAGCCGTCCTGTGTGCAAAGCACAGCAACTGGCGGAGCGAATGAGACACAATGCAGGAGCCATAAGAGCAATCGTTAACACCTGCATATTAGGGACATCTCGTGTTAAAAGGGAAGGGAATACCTAGAACTTGCCCAGACCCCCCAAAGGACCCCCCTGAAAGGAATACGCTTCAATCCTAAGAAGCAGTCTGAGGTGCACACGACTCAGTTGAAGTAAAACATAAGTAGAGGGTCAGCTTCATCTTCTCACAGTGCGCCCTAACCCAAGCGATGCGGCCTAAGTACTCATGGCATTATATGATAAAAGGAGCTGCAACGAATGCTTATGTCAACATCTCATTCCATTCAAAACTTAGACAAGGGACTTCATGAAAAGCCTGCCCGAGGAGCATTTACTCCAGCTCTTTGCAGCAAGCTCCAGAGCCTAATGGCAGAAGGCAGGCATGGATCTGGGAGCACCGCATGCAAGCAGCGTACGGCATACGCGTACCCCGAGCCCTGGAGGATCCGAGTCACCATGTTCCTTTCCTTCTTTTGGGCAACTCGATGCCAACAGGATGTGTTGTCAACGTTCCGGCACGCAAGTCTTGCGTTCATGCAACGTTGCCTGCTGTGTTGTGGCTTGCCGAGGCAAGGACTGCAACAGCAGTAGATCTCATCGAGGCAAATCAGCCTTGGGCCAATGCCGAGGCAGTTTTGCTGCTTTGTTTAGAAGCATGATGCCCGCAAATTGAAGAGGGACCAAAGATAAACTGCCCAGATGTCAGGTGGCGATGGTTACCCAAGTCGTGGCATGGTATGTGGTGTGCAATGGCATCAAATTCACTGGCTGCCCCCGGGCCAACCTAATTGATATGGAGGAGGCCGCTGTCAAGTCAATGTTTGTTGCAGAGATGGAGACTTGGACAATCTTGGACCAGGTTTGCTGCAGAAGGGAATTCAAGAGTGGGAGCATGAGGGATAGCATGGCAACGAAGACACGGGGCTACTTCGGCCTGCGGGATTGGCAACCCAGAGGAATGCCAAGAGAGGGCTATCCGTGCATGTACAGGCAGATGTAGCTTTGGGGCTGCGTGCCCGCATGGCCGCGAATGATTCGCCCCAACACGCACGGGGAGCACCTTTGGTGCACTCCTAAATGTTGAGATTCATCCATCTCATGGTTTTCCGAGCTATCTGCCAGTTGACAGATCTCTTGATGGGCATTTTTATTTGTGAGCTCTTCTACATCTACGTACGAAACAGGGTCCTGGGATAACGTGATCTCAGCGACTTAACTCTGGAGCAGAAAAAGCTGGGAGGTGGAGACCGACGTCCGACGTCCAGAAGCTCCAAACTGTGTTCAAACTTGCATGTTCATAGGTCAACCTGTAACAGCATGTCTTACTTAGTTTTGTGCACACCCGTTGTTACATACCAGAAGATGCCGCATCGCAATGAGGTCAACTTGCCCCGGCTCCCAACCGAAGGCACCTCCAACCTTGTCAGCCCGAAGCTGATGTAGTGCACTGTCGGGCAGGCAAACAGATGCAAGCTGCTTCCTGCGTCGAGACCCATGCACCAAATTGTGCGCCTTGCAATGTGCGGCCCACTCTTCTTTCCTTGCCAGGCTCGAAACCATTGTGTCCGTCAAAGCCACTTTTGTGGTCACTGGTCAGAAGGGCTTCAAGGAAAAAAAATCAAGCAGAGGAGACCCACACCTTACATCCATTCAGGTCTTTAGACTTCGCTGTCAGGCGGCCCCCCACGAGGGTTCAAATCCTCTTTGGGGGCACAGCTCGTGCTGGCATTTCCAGACAACTTATGAGAGGTAAGCTGTGGATTTGCCTGGTCTGTTTTGGACACAGGGGGCCTCCCAACGCTTCCAACCTAAACGCTTTCCATTGACAGAACAACCGACAATACGATCCTAGCAAGCCCTACAAAACTGCGTGCTCGTGGGAGGAAAGTGGCAAAATCATGCGCACCCATGGTCATTCAAGCATGTACGTACTTCTCGGTCCGCTGCAACGTGGCGGACAGGGCAGGCAACCCGCAGCTGAAAGGGAATCAGGGAGGGAAAGACCGAGTGAGAGGGAGGGAGAGAGAGAGAGAGCAAAGAACTAGTTTTAGTTAAGCAAAGCCCAGCAGGGGCGGGGAGAAGTCCCTGAGGGGGCCAGAGCCTTTCTCAACGCCCGCGCGCAAGAGCGGGAGCTGTTACCTGTGAAGCTGTGCTAGAAAAACTCCTAGATTGACTGGGCTTAAGCAACCACTCAGACCCGAATCTACAGGGGCTCTACCACCAGACCAACACGGTGCTGACAGGCAACCTTGTGCAGACTTTCTCAGAGACCAGCGAGCACGTCCGCCATACATGCAACAATCGTCCTTTCAAAGGCCGCACAACACACTACGATACAATGGATACACTACAAGTGCCAGCCTTCATTTGCAGCTCTGAGCCAGAAAAACACACACGGCACAGCTCGGACCACACCCCTGGCAGCCGCCGCCACCAGTCAGCGACCGATAATGCAACTTTGAGTCCGACGGGGAAAGCTGCTGAAAGACATGCAGGGCACCAACAACAAAAACAACGGCAATGAGAAGTGCTGATGATGCACAACAAGCCTTCTTGAAATGTACTGTAACTTGCACGGCTCCCGCAGAAAGTGTTGCTTGTGCGGAATGCTGGAAATCCGTCCTTGGATCAGACCTGCAGCTCTTTAGGAAACGGTGGCACAAGAGGGCAGAAGGCACTACCGAGGTATAGGTTAGGTTCACTTTACCTTTAAGATGGTATTTTCTGCCTTTTGGCTTGAGAAGCAATCGAGCCTAGGTGCAAAGGAGAGAAAGCAAGCAAGATTTCGAGTGGTGTATGACTATGGTTGGCCTGCCGCTCTCTCCTTAAGCCAAACAAGTGAAGAGGGAGAGATCAGCAGACACACAAGCAGAAAGTGATTTCTGCTTCAGCAGGGCAAGCACTGGTCACCACTAGTATTCCTGTGGAAATGCGCATGCCCAGGAGAGCGTATTGAGTCGAATGACTTCATTTTGTGCACCAGGCGGGTTCTACAACAAGCTTCTTGCTTAAGACGCGCAGCTGACGAACCATTGAAGCAAGCCGTCCATCAGGCGGCCGAGCAGGACGTCGCGGCTGCGCGATTGCCACAAACTCTTGGAGTGATCCCGGTCCCACACTGAAGTGTGGCAGCACTATTCAATTGACGGACTTTGAACTTTGGAGCCCGGAGGGGGAAATTATTGAAGCAGAGTTCCTTGCCTCGTGCATCCGTCGAATGGCCTGTCTAAGGATGGCCATGTTTCAAGGCTACAACAACGAAATTACCAAGGCAAGCGTTGAGCGAGTGCGTGTTGTTTTCCTAGACTGCCTCAAGTCGAGCATGCTGTGTTGACAGCACAGGGTGTGTCCTGGATATTGTCGCGATTGGCGTTGGGCTCTATTGCAGGCAATGCTCTCGAAACAGTCTGCTACCTTCCGCTCCGTGGACATCTTTGCTTTGGGAGCATCCATGCCTGGAGAGTGCCTTGGTCAGAGGGCTGTGCGTTTTGCTTATTGCTTTGATGCTTCGGAGACCTGCCTATGGAACATTTGAAAATGCATGGCAGCGCGCCGCATTGCACGCTTCTTTGCAAGTCGGTTGCTGAGATGGCGAGGGGCACGTAATGCTGAAGATTTGGAGGGTATGCTCAGCTGTTTCAATCCTTAACCAAGCAAGGACATACCTCGGGCATGGGAGCCAGATCCTCCACATTTGGACGTGGCAGGCTCTGCTAGGCAGGACAGGGGACCGCTTCTGGTCAGGCATCCGGTTTTCTTTAAGTCCTCGTAGATAATGTCCAAGTCACGTCAAGAAACCCTGGCGTGGATGTGGGCCCGAGCCTACGAAATCAAGAGTATCCAGGTCCATCAGCTGGAGCTCCAATAGTACTACACTAGCCTTTAGTAGCGCTAGCTAGTAACCGGCGCTTCCTAATCGTTGTGTTTTGGCGGAGTGGGTTTTGCAGTTACGGCGGGGGTTGCAATTGCGCTCTGGGATTTTTGCAATTACGCAGGGGCCTATTTATTAGAATGAGGTCAACATAATATTAGATGTTGGGCCTTCAGACTTCGTTCTGTGGTGCATTTCCCCTGACGAAGCTCGGCAATATGAATTCACTTCTGAACTCTTACACGTCCGTTCCATCTCTTTGTGGAGCCAGAACAGCAAGGCAAGATGCAAGTAAACCATGGCATGGCCGAGGATTGCTGCGAACATGGCAAGGGTTCGTTAAAAGATACCATCCCAATCCCATGGCCTCATGCCGCTGTGCTGCTAACCCCTAACGTGCGCGCCAGATCGACCATGCAGGTGGTTTCTGCACGTCTGCATCTGCTACTCCTGGCAGCCAGATCGAGCCTTGTTATACAAAGCTGCCACTGTCAGCTTAGGGACGCAGAATATCCTCAGCTCCGCCTTGTGAAGTCGTGGAATTGAGCTGAGGAGTTCGAAGGAGCATTGTGTTGGCGTGAGGATGCCGCCTGTCTGTGGAATTTTGTTTCGTAGTCATGCGATGCGCTAGGCCGCTAGGCAGAATCAATTTGCTCTGCGGTGCTTCCAGTCACCCGGTGATCAGCTGGTCAAGCATGGAAGCGCTTGAGGTTTCAGATCAGCAGGATGCAATTTGTCTAATACATGCTGGCAGATTGCATGCGTTTCCAGGCAAGCTTGGACTTGTGTACGTCCTACACCCGAACGGTGCTATGGCAGTGCATGAACAGACGCTCGGAGTAAGTTTAAGATTCAAGGACAGATCTGCGCAGGTGATCGATACAAGACATGACTGCTAGGTCAACTTTGCGTTCACCGGCTGAAGCCATCGTCAACGACGATGGCTACCACTATGGCAACAACTCTGGCAACCACCACGGGGACGCAGGACATGGTGTGGCTCAGCATGGATTGGAGCCTGGCAATCATGTTCAGCTCCTGACCACATTACTCCTTTGGGACAGAGGTAGACAAAGCAAAGAAGCAGCAATAACGTGATGTTTTGGCGAGGTTTTCCCCTGTTGATGGTGGCATTGACCGGGCTTGCCGTGGAGCTACGCCAGGCGACAATAGCGCCGACCACTACACGGTCTTGCACCCAGTGAGCTAATGATCGCTAGCAAAGTATCGCGGAAGGTTCAGCGGCAGCAACTTTCCAGCAAGTCCCACAAAGTGCCAGAGCAAGATGTCTTCGCGGCAACTGCGCCGCAGTTGCCTTTCTCTGAAAAATCAGCAGCACGGGACGCCGCAATCTCGTAGATTCAGACGGGATATGACACGTCTTAGGCACAAGAACGCGCGCTTCCCATGCTGACTTTGGTGTTTTGGTGTGTTAAGGATCTGGCCATTGGAGAGTATATGGCTAGAACGGCAGGCTGAAGAAAGTATGTTTGGCAAAAGCAGGCATGCCATTTGCTTGCCTTGGCACCAGCATGGCTAGCTTCAACTCGCCTCAGCTGATGTGTAGTGTTTGTTTTCGATCGTTCGTGCTTCTCAGCACAGAGGTCTAAAAGCTTAGTCCGTTCCCCCTAATATTCAACCACCCAATATTAAATACGTGTTCGCCAGAGTTCCAAATTCTGATATCTGCTCCCAAGACTTCTTTTAAAAGCGCCAGGACTAAAGTAAATTGCGGCTCGGATCCTCTGAATTAAGGGGGTCCCTGGCACAACTCTTCAGGATTTGGGTTCTCCTTGATTTCTTAGATTGTGATTGTTTTTGAACGGCTTTTATAAAGGAATGTATATACAACAATTCCAGACACAGATTCCAAGGCCCTAATTTGGAACAGTCCCTGATTGGCCCTAAATTTGGAATAGTCCCGAATGAGGCACAAATCTGGAATAGTCCCTGCGGCCCTAATTTGAAATAGTCCCTGATACGGCCCTAGTTTGAAATAGTCCCTAATACGGCCCTATTTCAATCGAAATAGTCTTAAGAAAGCCTTAATTATTGAATAGGCCCTAATGAGGCTCTGATTTGAAATAGTCCCTAATAATAAGTCCCTAGTTTGAAATAGTTTCTAATAAGGCGTTAATTCGAAATAATCCCTAATACAGCTTTAATTTGGAACAGTCCTTAATAAGGCTCTGATTTGAAATAGTCCCTAACAAGGCCGTAATTTTGAATAGCCCCCAATAAAGCTCTAATTTAAGATAGTCCTTAATAAGGCCCTAATTTGGAATAATCCCTAATAAGATTTACGTAACAAGGCCGTAATTTGAAATAGTCCCTAATAAGGCCCTAGTTTGAAGTAGTCCTTAATAAGGCCCTAATTTGAAATAGTCCGTGACAAGGCCCAATTTTTGAAATAGTCCCTAGTAAAGCCCTGATTTGAAACAGTCCCTCATGAGGCCCTAATTTGAACCGAATTTTATACGATTTGATCGTTTCTTTCGATTTCACTGAATTTTATACGGACTTATTTCGATTTCACGGCGAAATATCACCCCCGCTAATACATCGCCAGGAACAAAGTTTGGACGTACTGGGGCCTCGGGGCTTGTGAGGAGGTTAACATGTGCAAAGAGAGTGCTGAGCATGGGGCCATATTGCAGAGTAAATTAATACATTGTTTTAAGTTCATATTACTCTAAGCTTCCAGCGGAGCCCACGGTGCTCATTGGAGCAGTCTACGGGAGGGAGGGGGTCTGCTAGTGGTGTAGGTCTGGCATAACAAATAGTGGGTCGAACTATCGTCCTGCCGCAATATTTCGGTCCCATGATAAATCCCCCCCTTAATATTGAGTTCGGGTTGGAGTATATACCAGGGGGGTGTATACCGTGTATACCAGGGGGTGTAGGGGGTGTAGGGGGTGTGGGGGGGTTGGGGGGGGGGCGACAGTTAATATTAGGGGGAAGGGCCGGGATAATGTGGAGTTGTGGAATGAGTTTTGCCTTAAGAATTCAGTCAAGGCTTGCCCAGAGCCGAACGGAACAACAAGAATCAAACACAAGAATCAAAGAAGGATTATAAGAGGAAAATTATAAGGGTAACTGGCCATAACAATAACACTAAATGTCACCCTTATCACGCAACTGCTGCCCGAACGAGGTAGTTCAACGGGTTTTGACGGAACCTGTCGCCTCATCATTCTATCACCTCATCCTTATTTGGACCTTGCGTGACCACTGCACTTTTGCGATCTTGACTCGGAATGTTTGTTGCTGGTGTTAGTGATTTGCTCTTGCACCACTTGGGGCAAACCAGCGGGGTGAAGCATCTCAGGTCGTTTCTGGCGTGACATCTGTTGCAGCATGCCAACTCGAGTGCACCCGCACGGAGGCCATCGACTCGGAGTTGTTATGACACCTTGCCTAAAAAATGCACTTGTTTTCGGAGCTGTGAGACTTCCACGTGGTCCTATGCTGCTCTTCCGTGTGCAGGCCTGCATTGGCATTGAGCACAGCGGTTCACGGTGCGAAGTCTGGACACGTGCAGGTGGCATTCAGGCCTCCATCGAACTTGTGACTTGGTAGAGTCTAGCGCGGTATTACGCTGCAGACCCTGATAGTTGCATGCTGACCTTTGGGCTACCTGAACTTGGAGCCTGAGATTCTGACAAGAGGCAGCGCGCCCATGTCACTGCAAGCCTCCTGTGCTCCTACAATATTCTCCGGCCTCACCCTTGCTTACTTCGACCAGCTTTTCCCCTGACTTCTCCAAATAGGCATGCATGCATGCCAAAGATGGGCACAAAAGTGCCTGCGCGTGCTCTTGTTAGCTGTGTGTGTGTGTGTGTCAACCTCTGTACCAAAGAGCTAAATTACTACAATGAGTTTTGACCTTACTTGTCTAGCATGCTAAGTTGAAACCAGAAGTCTAACAGCAGGGGGGCAGTGGCCTTCAAGCAAACGCTGCCTAACAAAGCTATGCTTGAAGGTGGAAGCACAGTCTGAT